TGGCGTATATGAGCACTATTTCCAGATATAACGGCTGTCAGTTGGCTCTCAATTTATGTGTGCAAGTTATGATGACGTAATCAAACAATGAGGCCTTGAGCAGCATATTTCATAAGCAGAGAAGCGGTGCTGTCTAGAGCGATGTTTTCCACGTAAAAGTATAGCAATAGTTTTAAGTGAGCTTAGTTCATCTTCTTTGATGCTTGCTTCCATGTCTTCACACTTGAAACATTCCTTTCAATGCAATGATCCTTTATCTTAAGTGCATTATATGCGATGATCTACCCAATTATTTCAAAATGAACCAACAGGCTTAAAGAGGCATTGAGGCTTTTGTGCTATGATGCAAATAAAATAGTAGTGTCCAGGCCGTGGTACTTCCACTGAACATGCTCACATTCATTGTTCATGAATGTCGACTGCTTCGGTGCTTCAAAAGGGCCACAGGCTCCATAGACAGGCACTGAAGTGGTGCGTGGCCACCTCATTGCCTCAGGAGGTCACTTCAGCCCCGAAAGCCTCTCTCCCGCTGCGAAAGTCATCCGCAGCAAGGAACATTGTGGAAAGTTGAATTGTGGTCTTCATAAACGAAAGATGCACTTCGACCTCATTTACCTGTTACCGCGACACGTGGCCAGGGTGCCTCGCGCGACTCCACGCCTTTCGGGACCATCCGCAGCTGGTGCCTGAACCTGTGATCATCGGCAGCTCAAAGGCTGACGCCTCCTCTGACTTCCAATTACGGCCATCGCCCGGCGGACGGTGACGACCCCGGCCTTCATCGAGCCCGTATATAATGGCCGGTCGGCCACCTAACCTTGTCCGGTATGAGCGATAGTGGCGGCGGACACGCGGCGGCGCGAACCGCAGGGTTATCCCGGCGGGAGACCGCCGCCGCCTCCGTACATGGTCGCCGCTGGCGGCAGGGAGTCCGCGCGGCTCCCGTCGCCGGCCGGGACCGGCTCCCGTCGTCCGCCGGGACCGGCCGATGAGCTCACTTTGGGTGCCGCGTCGGTGGCACTGTGGTGCACTGGGCATGGGTTAGGCCCTATGCGGCGTTTGTTCTCTGCCGCTGATTATCTATTATATCATCTGTTTGTGTCCGTTTTCGGTTTTTATTCCGTACCGTGTTTTTGCGACACACACCTCCACCACCAAATTATCAACGTTCTTCAGCTGAAATGTCGCGGAAATCCGTCCTCACATTCATTAAATGCAGTTCTGGTGTCAGCTGCTTCCAATCACGTAAATGCCGCCCTCAGCACCCACACCTCAGCGTGCTGCAGGTTATTCACCACCCTGAAGCCGATCCCACATTCGTCCGGCGTCGGCTGACCCCAGACCGTTCCTCCCTCCGCCTCCGCCCGCCTGCTCCTCTCTGACCCCGGTAACCCGTCCAGCGCCGTGCCGGATTCCCACGCCGAGGCACGGCCCCTCCTCGCGCTCGCGACGGGCCCGGCTTCCATGCATACTGCTCCGCGCTGCCGGGCCGGGGGCGAGCCCATGGCACCCACGCCCGACCGCCACTAACCACACCCGTCGCTGCACCGGACTGGTGCCTGACATGGTGCTCGGGCAATGCATTGCCAGCGTACGACTGGTGCTGCAGTGGTGCACGACTGGTGCACACCTGGTGCCTGCCGATGGCCGACGGTCGGCACGGCGGCGGTTGCGAGAGAAGATAAGCAAACAGAGACCTTGGGCCGGCGCGCTGTGCGGTCCGATGTGACGTACCTTGCCGGAGTTTACTGCCTGATGTCTGATTAGCACCGCCCGGTGTTGACACGGCCTGGTCCGGGCAGAGCAGCGGCGTAATGTGAGCTTCGCCACTGTGTCCTGGTTGGAGGAGCCCAATCTTGACATCGGTGCTAGCTGACCGATGGCGCTGTTCGGCAAGCTCTTCACTTCATCAGAGGACACACGCTGGCGGGCTCCATCGCTGAACTCATCAGCACGTGTGAGCGACTCGTCCTTTACGCTCCAATGCCGACGACTGGCGATTGTATGGTGCTGCACGTCGGGTAGTCACCGTAGGCGTGCGAGCCTTGTCGGGCAGTCACTGTGCGCTTGCGGGTCTTATCGGGTAGTCACCAGAACGTGCGGAGCTCTTCGGGTAGTCACCGGAGGCGTGTGAGGCTCGTCGGATTGTCACCGGGGACGTGTAAGGCTCGTCGAATAGTCGCCGGGTCGTGTGAGGCTCGTCGGATAGTGACCGGGGGCGTGTGAGGCTCGTCGGATAGTCGCCGTGGGCGTGCGAGGCTCGTCGGAGAGTCACCGGGGACGTGTAAGGCTCGTCGAATAGTCACCGGGGTCGTGTGAGGCTCGTCGGATTGTCACCGGGGGCGTGTGAGGCTCGTCGGATAGTGACCGGGGCGTGTGAGGCTCGTCGGATAGTGACCGGGGGCGTGTGGGGCTCGTCGGATAGTCACCGGCGTCGTGTGAGGCTCGTCGGATAGTCACCGGCGTCGTGTGAGGCTCGTCGGATAGTCGCCGTGGGCGTGCGAGGCTCGTCGGATAGTCACCGGGGACGTGTAAGGCTCGCCGGATAGTCACCGGGGTCGTGTGAGGCTCGTCGGATTGTCACCGGGGGCGTGTGAGGCTCGTCGGATAGTCGCCGGGGTCGTGTGAGGCTCGTCGGATAGTCACCGAGGACGTGTCAAGGCTCGTCGGATAGTCACCGGGGTCGTGTGAGGCTCGTCGGATTGTCACCGGGGGCGTGTGGGCTCGTCGGATAGTCACCGGAGACGTGCGAGGCTCGTCGGTTTGAGCTCGTCTGCTGCGGCGCGCTGCAGTCGCTGGCGGCCGCGCCCCGGCCGGCCCGCTCTGTTCACACAGCTCCGGCCGGCCTTGATGGCCTATTGGAGTTATCAGCCGCACGGCCGATACCAATCGGCGACTGAGTCTGAGCCGGGGTCCGGGTCAGGCGCCGACCGTCTCTCTTCTGATGCTGGCTTGGCGAACGTGCCATCATTGTCGACGCCTGAGATTTCCGTTGTCTCGTATTCTGTTGGGTTCCGTCGTCCCGCGGCATCACTGCCCTCTCACTTTTGCTGGATGTCAGACGTGTTACCCGTTAGCGTCCCAGATTATGAAATATATCTGCCGTCTGATCCTCATTTGTGACTGCTCCTGTCATGACTGGTCTGTCCTGTCTTTGGCCGCCGTCCCTACCATCTCCTCCCACCGGACGCTCCGACCGGCACCGGCGCCAGCGCCAGCTCCGTCCGGTCCGCTGGCGCCGCCAGCGTCGTCGCCGGGCGACGTCGCGCTGCCACCTCCGCGTCAATGCCCCATTTGAATATTGCTTTGATTGGTAATTAAGAGCGGCCGTCGGCGGAGCGGCCGCCCGCATATTTCGAGCCGACGGAGAGATAAGCTTTTTTGTCGCCGGTCTCCGTGCGGGGGGAGCGCGGCTGCCCGCTTTATTGGTAGCTATCGGGCGCGGCATCGGCTCGGGCGGCGTTCCGAGCATCGCTGCTCCTGGCCGCATCCGCACGGATGTCCAGTGATCTCGGCATTAAACTTAGCGGCCGTGACCGTGACTTTGCAGGCGCGCGGTCGGCGGCCTGCGTGACGTCACGCCCGGTGACGTCACGCCAGACGGGCCGCGCGGGAGCTGGATAGCCTTGGCGGCGCAGCGCGAGCACAGCCAGGCCCCGCCTGCTTTGGCGGATGTGCGGAGGTCGGAGGCACTTTGTGGCGGCTCTGTGGGTCCAGGAGTGCCGCGTCTCCTTTATCTTATTTGAGGCGCCTTCCTTCCCTCGTTTCCTCAGCAGGGAAGGTCCTTGTGCAAGGCGGCTGCGGCACGAACTCTCAGCTCTGGCCATGGGGAGGAGGGGGCTGATCCGGCGACCATGCGGCTCCAGTAGCCGGGGCTCCAGATGGGTGGTCCTCTTGCTCGTCATGAGAGACATGGTGCGCTCGGGACCCGATGAGCGTGGCCGCACTGGAGGCTGCGGCGATGCTGGCTGGCACCAGGGACGCGCAGGAACGGCGGGCGCCAGAATTCCAGCAGTGCTCATACGCTCGCAACGTCACAGCAGGTCGCGTCAATAATGAGGCCCGTCGGGCCCGTCCTCTGCGCTGATGTCCCACGCCAACGTCATGCCCGCGTCGGACAGACGTGGGAGATGACGAAGGGTGATGCCTCGATTCAGGCTGCGGTCGGATAAGGTCTGAGTACACCACCAGTCACCATTCCCAGAAAGCAAAGTCGAGAAAGGGAGAAGCTCGTCGGACCGCTGTCATCGTCTCGCAGGGTCATGACCCCTTAACTCGCTCCGGCATCCGCCATTGGATACTGGAATGATCGGATTTGGTTGCCCGTCTCGATTGTTGCTGCCACAAATTGTTGTGGTGACGACTGCAAGCATTGAACCAGTCCTGATGAGAAAATTCAGCTGCAGACGGATTTTTGGTGCGACGATTGATCCCGCTTCCACGGCCACTGACTTGCAGACGGCGTCGTGTGTCCTTAACGTCTTCCAGGGTTGCACGGGGCTGGGATTCCTGATCGATGAGCTTGCCGCTCTCTCGGGAGGCGTCGCCGCGAACGTGTTGTGCACCGTGCAGTGTATGTGCACAGCATTCTCCGCGTGTGTGGCTAGCGTGCATTACTGCCGACCGTGTGTCGCTCTAACTGGCATGGCTGTGGTCTGACATCATCGCGCATTCCAGGGATGCTTCAGTGGCCCTTCGCGCCCTGGCATACCGCACCCTGATGCGCCACCCTGACCTGTCACACTGCCCGGTCACCTGGGACTCGTCAACGCTGACCTGTCACCCTTAATCCGTCACCCCGGATCTGTCGCCTGTGGCCGAACAACTTTGACCCTTCAACCCTGACATGTTAGTCCTGACATGTTGTACCTGATCCGTCACCACCGGCTCACATTCTCAAGCCGTCAGCTCTGATCTGTCAGCTCTGACCACGACTGGCTGTCACCGCTGCTGGGTACGGTTTTGAGATGCTCAGTGACTTGTCCTGACCTGACCTGCAGGACTGGGAGCTGCTGGTCCTGCACCGCCTGGGCTGGGAGGTGAGCGTCGTCACGCCACACGACTTCCTGGAGCCTCTGCTGCAGCGGCTGCCCCTGCAACGGTACCTGAGTCCGACGGCCGAGCTCGATATCAGGCGACAGGCTCAGACCTTCGTCATCATGTGCTCCACAGGTCAGTCAGGCTGCTGAACTGGGCCATTCCCCAGCATTGCGTGCGTGCGTGCATGCGTGTCTGAGCAGGCTAGCCGACCTATTACACAGGTGCAGGGCCTGACCACGCTGTTGACTCGTCAGTCTTTCCCCCGCAGGCTGTCGCCAGCGCCGGTGAGACGGGCTGGCAAGGACAAGTCCCTGACACCTGCTATGTCACCTCCCTGACACCTCCCTAGGACAAGTCCCTGACACCTGATATGTCACTGCTGAGCTCGGACCTGGCGTAGGTCACCTACAGATGCATCCCGTGATCACTTGCCGCCATTTGCAAAACTACGCAGAAGACTGCAAGGCATGGAGGCAGACGTCTGGAGAACATTCCCGGATGTCAACCGACACACACCGGCGTTTCCCGCGCGCACACCGCAGTTCCTCACGCCGGGCCAGGCCGCCGGCTGGAGGGAGGGAGGGAGAGGGGGGGAGGGAGTCCGGTCTGCGCAGCTTGCGGCCCGCCCCGCCGACCCGGAAGGGGCCCTGTTTTGGTTCCTCCTCCTAAGGAGGGTGCGACCGTTACCGATCATGCGCTGTTTGTGGGGTAGCGGGGCATCCACTCCGGACACATGATATATGGGATATTGGGGATATTTTCGGACCAGCCAGGGACGAGGGGAGGCTGTTTTCTTGGTCGCCCGCCATCTGGCCGTCTGTTTCCCCACACCGTTATTATTGTTGCTCGCCCGTGGGGGGCTGACCTTCGTGCCGATCCAGCTCCCCTGATTTGGGCAGCCCTAGCTATAATTAAAAGCGGCGAGCGCCTATTAGACGCCGCGCCGCGGCCCGCGCCGGCGTCGCGCCGTTTTTTTGTAAGTGCCACCTCGCCGGTGGCCATTCCGGCGCAGGCCGCGGCGTCCGGAAATCGTCGCCACATGCGTCGCGCGTGACGGCACCCGTAACCCGACCGGGACTAGGAAGCGGCGGCGCCGGAGAGGGCGGCGACACCAGGCAGCGCCCGGAGCCTCCCCGGCGTCACCGGACCGTTACGTCCGTGTTGATGTTTTCGTCTGGGTGCCGGCGCGACCGTCGCGTGGCGTTCCGGGCTGCTCTCGTGGGTGTGGCACCCCGCCGAGACGGGGGCGGTGATGGTGGTGTTGTCAGCGCCAGCGGGGTTCTGATATTGGCGAGTGGTTAGGCAGGGGTCAGGGGACAGTTCAGCAGCGGTGGTCCGACCTCAGGTCACAGGAGCAGAGACGAGCGCAGGTCACAGAACCAGGAACGACCACAGGTCATATGGCTAGACACAACCGTAGGTCACAGTATCAGAAACAACCTCAGGTCACCGGACCAGAGGTGCCCCCAGGTCACAGGACCAGACAACCTCAGGTGACGGGACCAGCGAGGCGGGGTATAAGGAGATTGCCTCAGCTCCTCCAGTGGTCGGTCCAGACCGACAGGAGATCGGAGACCAGCAGAGAGGACTGCTCCCATGCCGGTCAGGCGATGAAACACTGGTAGTCGAGCTGGCCTGGTCCTAGTTCCGGCAAACTGGCATGATCTTTGTCTGGTTCAGCATTCAGCACTCCGCTTCCATTGGCATGACGCGTGGCAGTATTTCAAGACTGCTAGATCAGTGGTTGACATGTCTGGATCATGAAGTGACAGGCCAGGGACATTAAGCATCTGCAGGGACCCTTCAGGAGCGGTAGTGCTGCGGCCGCACTACTGGTACAGGGAGATGTGGGGAAGAGGTGTCCGGGGAACTCTTGCGAGGTCGGAGACGCGTGACCTCCCGCGCCACTTCGCCGCCTCCGACCGAGCGAACCATCCGCTGGAACAAGGGATGGAGAGAGCCGACGCTAGCGCAGACTCCTCCAAATTGGCGATGCGAGGCTCCTCCCAGCCGCTGCGCCCGCATTAAAGGTCCTGCGCAGTGCTCCAGGCGACCTGAAAGCAGCCGCGTCAGCTCCGCGCCAGACAGGTATGCTAAGTGTTCTCACGAACCGAGCCGGGTCCGCTGATAAATCCCGGTCGACGGGGCGTTCGGCGCTGAAAATTAAGCCGGCCCCGCTCTTAGCGCCCGCAATAGCCCACTAACCACATTATTATGGATGTACATTGGAGGCGCCGCACAGAGGCGGGCCCAGCCCAATTGCACAGGCGGCCCGCCCCGCGGCCGCCGCCGCTCGCCGTCTGCAAACCGGTTCAGCCCATGAATTGCGCGGCGTTTCATAATGGCGACGGCCTAGCAACGCGACGTGACGGCCTCGCCGAGCTGTGGAAGCCGAGGCTGAGTGGGTGGGCGGGCTGGCGAGCAGCCTCCTTCGATTGGCGGACATTTCTCTGGCAGGTGGACATCCCTCCCCGGCTGGACGTCTCCCGCCGTTGGACATCACTCCCCGGCTGTAGGACATCCCTCCCCGGCTGGAGGACATCCCTCCCTGGCTGGAGGACATCCCTCCCTGGCTGCTGGCATCCTCCCCCGGCTGTAGGACGGCCTCCCGCGGGTGGAGGGCAGCTCTCCTCGGTGGACCAACTCCGGGGCTGGGTCGGTGATTGTCCCTGTGTGTGCCCTCGAGCACTGCCTGACGGTACTTCCGCGTGACACATCTGTTTCGGTGGGCAGAGGCCGCTGGCACGTCGGTCCGTCGCCGGTCCCTCCGCCATCGCCGCATCGGCGACGGCGTCGGTACGCCGTCGTCGCGGCGAGCTCGCAGCTGTCGATCAACGCCGTGGCAGCCGCCTCTGGTTCACATCCCTCGGCACCTCAGCCGGCGGCACGGGCCGGCCCGGCCGCGGCGCTCCCGTTACCCGGCCCTGCCGCCGACCCGGCCGGCCCGGACAGATGTGTCCGGCGGAGGGGCGTGTGGGTCACCGGATCACCAGATCATGGTGGCCAGACGCCCCCCTCCCCTCCCCTCTGGCGTCGGCCGGGCGCCACGCACATCCCGGTGCTGTCGGCTCGACGAGGGGTCTCCGGCCAGCTGCCTGGCCGCCGCTGGCTGGCCGGTCGCGGCCCCAAGCCGGAGACACAGCAGCTTTGTTCGCGCCGAGCCGCCGAACCCGAGGGGCCCATGAGGGCTCGACGGCGGCTGTGGTCCGCTGGCGCCCAGAGCTTACCAACGGCGGAGGAAGGCGCCTCGGGAAACGGGCGGCATCACGTGTATGATCTAACCTCCCTCTGAGAACGTGCTACACGTGGCATATAGTTTGCGCTGGCGTCTACGGTGGGGCGTAGCGTTAACACGCGAGCTACACATTGATGCCCACGCCTTCTCACCTGCTCCACATGGTCCAGGGCTGAGCCCAGTAGTCACGTCACTCCCCTGGCGCTATCCTTGAGACGATGATCGGCTGAGCATCATTCACAGCATGCTGACTCAACGTCCCATCACAGCACAGTTATAACCGAGACCATCCCCACGGCATCTCTGCTCGCTGTTCTTGGATCTGCCGGCGGCTCCCTCGTCCGCACTCAGCGTCAATATGGGCGGGGGCAGACGGCCATGCCACCGTTCGAGTCCCCTCGCTGGCGGGCGGTTCGCGTCTGGTACGACAGTTCGCGTGGAGCCGGCGGCATCGGGGAGGGAACCGGCGGTCGCTCGTGGCTGAGGTCTGTCGGCAGCGTGCTGCGGGAAGCGCTGGCCAGCGGCCTGGACAGCGTGGTTAGCCGGAGAGCCGTCCGGCCTCGCTGGCACCCTGGAACCGTCCGGCCGCGCTGGCGCCCCGGAGCGGTCCTGGCCGTGCTGGCGTCCTGGAGCTGTCCTGCTGGGGCTGTAGCTGATTCGCTGCCGATTTGACTTCCGCCCCGCTGTCTATCTGCGAGTGCTCACCTGCTGATTCTAAGCTATTGCGATCACCCAGAGAACCCTACTCGTCCTTATGCGGTCTGATGTTCGGCACTTTCACTTTTTCATTGCGCTACGCACCAGCCGAGGAGGGGAGGCGACGCTCCAAATCACGCCCTCTGCCCTGATTGGTTTTGTGCTGTGCGATTAGCAGCTTGTTACAGTTGATAAGCCCTCAGATGTGAATTCCCAGCTAATGTTTGCAATAATTTGGCAGCTGGTGTTAACGACTGTCGTAGCGGTCAAGTCAAGATACTTGGCCTGCATTGGAATGCTGATCCCTGGTTCTGATACCGCTTGTGACGGTGCCCGTCAGGCGGCTCATTGATAACGTGCTGCTGCGGGTGCTGGCGTACTACGCAGAATTCCCTGCACCTGCCGTCTTCAACCTTGGAGGCTTGCCCCACATCTCGTTTGTCTACGCGCGGAGGGGTAACAGGATCGTAGTCTGTTGCAATGTTGTACATCTTGTCACCGTAAAACATCCTTTCGCTGCATTAAGGTGCTGGGACTGGGGAGCAGGGAGGACCATCTTGCAGGGGTTTGAGGGAGCGTTCACGACCCCCCGCTGGCTTTTAGGGGCTCATTGTTCGTCTGGAAAGGGTCCCTGCCGGCCTATGAAGGCCTTTATTGACCTTCGGAAGGACTTCCTTCCGGCCTGTAAGAAGGCCCTGCTGACCACTAGACTCACCGCCGGTTTTAAAGGCCCGCTGGGATGTCAAGGGTCCCTGTTTGCTTGTAAAGATACTGCCGGCCTGTAACAGGCATCGGTCAGTTCAGGAGGAGCATCTGTACAGACAAACACGGGCCCCTTATCACCTACAGCGGACCCTTTCACAGGCCGACAGTGCGTATCTGTATTGCCCAGCAGGGGTCTTTTACAGGAGCCCCAGGCCTCTGCTGCCCTCCAGGTGCCGATAGAGGCCCTTTATGGACCGGTGTTGGCCATTTCCAAGCAGAAAGTGTTCCAACCTGCTAGCAGGCCCCCCTGAATGTTCCCTCAAGGGCCCGGCTTTCCTCTAAAATGCCTCCGCTGATCTCTAAGGGGTGTTCATTAGGTCGACAGGGGCATTCTTACAGGCAAGAAGTCATCCCTTAAAAAGGCTCCTGTTGGCCAGAAAAAACTCTGTTGACTTTTAAAAGGGCACCATTGGATTGTAGCAGCCCGACAAGCAGA